GGGTCGCGGGCGCTGCCCGTACCTGGCCCGGGGGGCGCTGAAGTCCCGCGGCCCCGGCCGGCGCAGCAGCTGCCGCAGGGAGAGCTGCACCAGGGCCCGCAGCGCCAGCAGGTAGAGCAGCACCAGCAGCGCCCCCCGGGCCTCAGGCAGCAGCCGCCACCGGGAGCCGCCGGCGGGGCAGTCCCGCTTCTTCCCACCTGGGTCCGCCTCCCCGCGCCCCGGCAACGGCGGGGGCTGCGGAGCCCGGGACTCCCGCTCTCCGCCAGCAGCGCGGAGCCGCCTCACGGCCACCGCCGCGCCCCGCTCCATAGAGAGACGGAACCGGCACCGCCCGGCGGCCTGCGCGGCGGCTGCTCTGCAAGGACGCTACGGGGCCGGAGAAGGGTCAAACCAGCTCGGCTAGGGCCGCCCCACCTGGATTTCGCGGGGGAGGTGCCGGCTTCCGATGAGTCACATGGGGAGACACCGGCAGCCATTCCCCCCTCCCCTGGAAGCTAGTGGGCGTGAAGATGCCCCGCGGCCCTCGGGGGGTCAGGGGCAGACCGCGCGCTGCTGAGCCCGGCGGGCCCTGCCTGTGGGGGCTCCCTGCCGCCAGGAGCGCTAGGAAAGCAAAGGGCGGCTTGGTTCACGCCCCCAGCTCAGTTCCGTTCAGTATGTTCCTGCCCTGGCTGCCTGTCGGCCAAAGAATACAGCACAGGAGTCTGACTAGTAATCTATCGAGCCCGTCATAAATTAGGTCGAGAGAGGCCAATTTTCAGACGTGCTGGCCATTCCTAACTTCAGCTGGAAGTTGAAGATGGTGAAGTCAAGGGCAGGTGCAGATAATCAGCACCTCTGAAATTCAGCCCCTACGTGCCTCTTGCTCTGTGACTGGGTCCCTGGCTGACACTGAGGATTGGTTGTAGTGAGTCAGGACCACACCCGGGCAAGTCTCTCATAGGGTAGAGCCCTGGCCTCTGCTACAGAACCCCCTTCCAGAACTGGCCCACCAGGCACCTTCACTAGCTGTCTTTTTAGCATACGTTGAAAGACTCTTCTCTTCCAATTAGCCACTCCCTTACCATTTGGGGCCCTCTCTCATGTTTCTGGTGTCTCCTGTATTAGTATCAAATACCTTTTGACAAATGGTTTGCCTTGATGGTCACTGCTATTCCATCTTGTCAGCTTCCTTGGCTCTGTTCTTTAACTGATTTTATTTCTTTTAGAGGTTTGCTACTTCAATTTAGTCTAAGATGCATTTGATCTGTGCAAGACACCCTATACCTGGATTAGTAAATAAAAATATAATCAATTGGTCCAAAGTTTGACAGACCTGAATAAGACCCTGAGGGAGAAATTCCAAGCACCTCCATCTTCTTTCCTCCCTGCTTGTATGTTTTTCCATCTGAGTCATAGAATCAGCAGTTGTAACACCTCTTGGCTAAACAAACAGGCCTGAAAGAGAAGGGACAGGTTGAAATGCAGTGACTACATTCCCAACAAACTTAAGGTGTTTTTTTGTAAGTTTCCATATTCTAGTTCAGTGTCTCTTTTTACCTGATGCAATTCACATGTCGAAGTCAGAGTATGTTTATAAATTTCACTGCAGTCTATGTCACTACACAACTTTTTTTTTTTTTTTTTTTTAAGGCCTCCTGGCATAGTGCTGGAGTTAGTGCATTTCTTTCTTTATTTTTTCCATTTGTACCTTATTTGTTTTCTTTCTCTCTCTCCAACCCCACCTCCCCCACCCCCACAAAGGGAACACTATTGGCAGGGCCGGCGCAACCCATTAGGCGACCTAGGCGGTCGCCTAGGTCGCTAACATTTGGGGGGCGGTGACTGCGGCGGCCGGATCTTCGATCACCCCGCTCGTTGGCAGTATTTCAGGGGCGGGACCTTCCGCCGCCTCTGTTGGAGGTGGCATTTCAGGGGTGGGACCTTCCGCCGCCTAGGGCGGCAAAAAAGCTGGCGGCGCTCCTGACTATCGGGACAAAATTTAGTTTCCATAAAAATGAGTTTGATTGAAAGGAAAATTACTGGGAAAATGTCCATTGTTAAAAAAAAAAAAAATCAACGGTAACAGGATTTTCCTTAAAGTAAGCATATATGATCATTCCCACACAAAGCTTGCAACTCATACTCTGTAACAATGAATTAACTGCAACAACAAAAGTGTGAAATTAAATCAAAATGAAAATCTTTGCTTAATCATCTGTGTAAATATCTACATTATAATAAGGTGTTGTTAGCAACATAAGTCAGGAAAAGTGTTTTTTTAAATATATGGGGCCAGATCTTCAACTGGTGTAAATCCATGTAACTTCATTGAAGTCCTTACTCAGTTTTTGAAGTCATTTGGTGTTTTACCTAAGTAAGGACTTTAGGATTGGGTCCCATGTCCTTTATTTTTACCTGACCTATAATGCCAGCAATGCCAAGGCATTGTGCCCACCATTCCAGAGACTAATTTACAAAATAAGAGCGTGGGTCCTCATCCCTTACTTACCTGAGTAATCCAATAGAAGCCCATTCTTCCCCAAGAGCAGAATCACTTGAATTTAATGATTATTCAGGGAACTACTCTGGTGAGTAAGGACTGTAGAGACAGGTCCTACATTCTTCACGTGGTAGATGGTATGAAATCTTTTTAAAAGAGGAGAAAAGAAAAGAGGAATCTCACCTCTTCCTCCTACCCTGCTTGCTGGCTTCATGGCAAATTCTGTGGCCCCTAATCAAGTAAAACTAGTCCCATTCATTTTGTGAATGGGCAAGGGACTGAAATAGCTGAAAAATTTGAATCTCCTGCTGCTCACTGGAATTGAGGCAGCAGGGAGAGTAGAAATGCAAGCAACCCACTGTCCCAGGTTTATTATATTCGGGGGACCCTCAGTTTGAGGATTAGAATTTTAATATTGTTTCAGCCCTTTTAAAAAAAAGTCATAAGGGGTTTGTTTGGGCTTTTTTATTATTGGGGATATTTGGAAACCAAAAATATTTATTTTCCAGGTTAGAAGCAAATCTGAGACCTATCAGTGTTGACAGCATGCTTTGTAGGCCAAAGTTCTGTTTTATTATTCTAACAGACAAGGTGGGTGAGATAATATCTTATTTTGGACCATCTTCTGTCGGTCCAATGGAAGCTATTACCTCATTCACTTTGTCTCTCTATCATCTTTGGACCAAAACAACAATACTGCATACGTTTTATTATTCTGTCAATTCAAACTTCACAACCAAATTCTCTGCGTTATTGAAGAGAGTTTTGTGAGACTTCACCAACTGACAACACTCTTATGTGCTCGGAAAAGTTGACACAACACTTAGCATAGCACTTTGTAACCTGTGTCAAGTTGGATGGATGTTGCACCATGCATATGTTCCAATATGACCTGAACGTCAGTCAAAAATACCATGGAACAGAGCCTTTAAGCTATGTTTCTCAGGAAGGAAGCTTGGTTTCTTAACAAAAGGATTTGACCTAATTTTGGACCGAATGATTCAGCAGTTTTTCAGTTCAACTTTGTTTATGTCAAGTAAATACGTGCTTATCTTAGGATATAATCCTTTTACTGCCACTCCATTTTCTCACAGGGCAATCTGTCAGGAAAGCCTTGTTCACTGGAGCATGTGATTTGATTTTAAGCATTATTTTAATTGGAGAAAGAATAAGATTTCAGTATCTGATCCTTAGGGACTTGAGGCCTGCTCCTATTAAAATTAACTACAAAATTCCCAGGTCCAGATCCTTCAAAGGTATTTAGGCACCTATCTCCCACTGAGTTACAGTCAATGTGTTTTGTCAGTGAATCACATCACACGCTAAAAAAAAGCACTTTTAATTCAGTCGTTGTGACAATCACATCCTTAAATTGGCTAACTGTGTGATCTTGTTATGACTTTGCCATTCCTCATACCCTTCCCCACCTCTCCCTAATGTTTCTTCCTATCACTTGCTGCGACTTGTCGTGGTAAGGTCTTGGGAGCAGGGTTTGTTTTTTACTAGGTGTTCTGTAAAGCTATCAGAACACTTCTGGTCTGGGCACTGTAAAAGTAATAAAAGTAATGATAAACAACACTGTGGTGCTCCAACAAATTGGAGGATGGGCATGGAGGTATAGCAAAGGGAGTTGCAGAAGACAGGAAGTGTATTTTATCAGCTTTCCTTCCCCCTACATTAGCCTCACAGCTCCCCATCACCACACAAAAGGCGCTTTAGGCAGCAGTGACATGGTTAAAGCACTAGGGACCTTGAGCTTATTCATACAGGCAGAGCAGAAACTAACTCCTGATATAGTCAGAAGCTGAGCTGACTGAGGCTGGATCTGATCAGAGGTCATTTCTCTTGCAGCCAGGTGGAGGGCATTCCCTCCATCTTTCACTTGTAAACTGAAACAGGCCATAATCCAAGAAAAGCCTCTTAGTAGAGTACAAAACTCTTGCATGCCAAAGGAATTCAAAATGGAATTCACACAAGTTTAAACAGTCTAGAGATTTTTCTTTTATCCCCAACATTTTCTCATGAAAAAGTGAAAGGGGGGGCATGTTTATTTTGGGCTATGGAATGGACCAGAAGAGGGGAAAAGAGAATTCAGGTGGTAGTACTGCACAAAGCTGCCTGTCCAAAGAGCAAATATGTTTCATGTATTTCCATACATTTTCATAACTTTCTGTTAACTTTAGCTGAATAAACAAATAGCAGAGCTGTGACACTAATACAGAGCACAGCAAGTCTCTCAGAGGAAAATTACACAATATAATCACGCTGGTCTCAATTATTTTGGTAATTTATTTAAAGTACAATACAATGGATGGAGAATGGGGCTGGGGAGCATTGGAGGAAATCTACAAACCCCTTCTAATAGTAATGTAACTAGTATTGACCCTTTACTTCTAGTTATTAGTCTACAAATATATGCAGCCATACACTCAGTGTTACATCATACACAACTGAAGAGCAAGTGAGGGCTGGGGACTCAAACTCACAAATTTATACTGGCTACCGACCATGTCCAGAAAGGTCAGTAGCAAACAGTTCATGAAGCACATTTTGATAGGAAATGTTTTCAGTCCAGAAATTTAGACCAGTTCTAATCACTAAAGCACCGTAAGCATTTATAAGGCGACACTGTCCTTTACAATAAGGGTCCTTTACACCACTTTGGCAATGTAAAGGAGCCTTAAAATTTTTACACCTGTTTTATACTCCAGGGGGAATTCACTAAGAACAATGGAACAATTCACTAAGCAGGCAGGCTACTACATTCTGCTCTGCCTGAGGGGATAGAGCCTGTCCCATGCCTACCTCCTCAGAAACACCCCAAAAGCCCTGCCCTTCCACACCGAACATGCTTCAATAGTGAGCGAGAGGGAC